GAGTGACCCCGCCCCGCCCCGCCTCGCCCCGCGCCCTCCGCTATGCTACAGCAATCCTTCATTTACACAGAGTTCAGAGTAGGACGATATGTTATAACTAAACTTATGTAGTTGGTCCTTCGAGTCGGATTTAACGCAAATCTAACATTCGATTTCAAGAATTTATGTTTTAAGATAATAATTTCCACTTTTTAATATTAACATGCATAAACGCCATTATATGTAATTCGAATAGGGCATCTTTGTGAAATGTTGCAAAATTAAGGTATACAATAAGAATGTTGCTTCACAATCGAGTACAAGCAGATAGTTTCGTCGTATCGTGTTGTGTACATTGTGTAATGTGGCTGTATTGTCTGCGATATCTTTGTAAATAATATAGATTATATTTATATGAAAATGTAATTGTTTTATTACCTTATAGAATTCCTCTACCAAAAGAAAACATGAATTATCAATGTATAAATGAAACAATATATAAGGGTACACCTTTATTTATTTTATTTTGTAAACATTTATCTTCAAAAATGTCCGAGCTGTGGTATATACAAAAGTTTTACAAAATAAAATCTACACATTTAATACAAGATCAAAAGAGATGTGACATATGTATGTACACTACAGCGACTACTTGACAAATACTATTATAATGTTTATCCGATAAATGTTAAAATATTAGTTTAAAAACAAATATAAATAGATATACAAGTACAGAGGACCATTATCAGATGTTTTAACATTTTTTAACATAGTTTGTCATGTCTAAGGTCAACTATCTACTAAAGTACAATCGAATTTAATAGAAATGAGAAATTATATTCACACCTCAGCAGTCCGCTTGCAAACTTCGTTCAACTACAAATAAAAAAGGTCGTCCCTAATATTCCCGCGTGCGGCAACTTCATGTCAAAGTCCCGTCAAAACCTTTCCATCCGTTATTGAGAAAGCGTTCCCGCGCAATTTTCATGTCTCTGGCTGACAATGTCATTTATTGTCTATTATTTTTGTATCATTGTATGATACGAACATTTATGTATGCCTTATTAAAGTAAAATTGTTCAGTTAGTTTTGTTACAAAATCTCATTCCCATTGATTTCGATACATGTAAATTATTTGGAAGATAATGCAGTGCACTAAAGTAACAATTTACTACATAATTGTCGCGATATGTCTGTCTGTCTGTCTGCAGAGCGTGCAGACCACTGTTTAGTTAAAAAACTACCTTACGTAATTAACTATATATTTATATAAACAAAAATATAAGAGATTACATATCACCATTTACTTAATTATAAATGCATTTTACGTTACAATAAAACACAAAGACAAGTCTTGAAGACATTTAAAATATAAATAAAAATATTTTTATTTCATTGGTGAAATTAAATATGCATTTAATTTTGTAAAAATTGTCTCCATTTTAATTCAAAATCTTAAATTATAAACAATTAGTGCCTGCACTCTTGTTATCACAAATGTTACGTAAAATTTCTAAAAACTTTTCTTTGACATCATCAAAGACAGTTACTTCTTTCCATAAATAACTTAAAAGGAAAGATTTATTTATTTGCATTGATTAGCAACACTACTTAACCGAAGGTACTTGAAAAATTATTCGATTTGAGAAGTTATATTATCCCCGGGTGGCATTGGATATATTCTGTATTCATTACAAAAATATTAAATGCCCATTAATTATTTTATTAACTCGGCACGTTTTATGCGAGCAATAGTTTTGTGTTCATTTTAATCTATTGTGGTTTTATTGATTTGTATATTCAAACGATGGTTGGACAGTTTTCCTACATTGGTCTTTTATGTTTAGTAACAATAACGGAGGCCGAGTCAAAAACTACATTTACATAACAAATTACTTGAATGCGCTTGTGTCGTATTCAGACGCTGTTTAAGACGCTCACATGGAAGCCATCACGTGCTTTGTATACATACAATTAAAAGTAATTTAAATGTGCCTAATAGATTTTTTTAATAAATTATTTGCCTTTGCCGATTTCCAAATGTAACAATTACACACTCCTTGTAAGAATAATAAACCGCAAGACGGCGGCAGTCATTTTGGCACATTGGTTTAAAAGCTATGCATAAACAATACAAAATCAGACGGTTTATATTCACTATGCATTGTTAAATAACATAAACAGCAGCGTTTTATTTACACTGCTAATCCGATTCAATATAACGCCTTATTTAAAAATTCTAAGATAATTTACCCCATAAGATAAAACCATTTGATAATGTAAGTATTTCCCGCCACGGCCCTCGCCGGCGGCTCACAGCGAGCTGCCGAAGTGCTGCTGCAGCTGCTGCAGCTGCTGCAGCTGCTGGTTGCGGCGCGGTATGTTCCGCAACACTTCGCGACTTCAACTAGAGGCGGAGCGTCGGGTTTTTTCCGCACGGAACATAGTCTACAAAGGCAATTATTCGGCGAGCCTCAGCGCCTCCATCGGCAAGAGCGCGCTGAGGGCGATCAGCAACTGCCCCAGGTAGTACGTGGACATCACCAGCACCTGATCAGCACGACAACCCCTTTCAATCCAATGTAATATGGTATGAAATGAAAATTCATGAACTATATGAGTTATACGAGTGTAATAAAAAATGTAATGGTCTCTCACATTCTTGTAGGGCAGTGAACCACCGAAGAGGCTGTACCCGAGCAAGCCGTCGGAGAGGGCGAAGAGCAGGGCGCCGGCGCGCTGCGGGCCGGGGCGTGCGGCGCCGCGCCACGCCATCGCCGCCAGCAGCGCCGCGTACACGTGCACGAGGAAGGTGAAAGGCTTCAGCGCGGCGGGGCGCAGCGTGCGCACGTACAGCGCGGCGGCCAGCGCAGCCAGCGCGCCCAGCCCCGCGCGCCGCGGCCGCAGCCCGAACGCCGCGATGTACGAGATGTGCGCAGCGCCAAACAAGATGATGCCGCCCGCCAGCATCTGCGGCCACACCAGCGCCACGTCGCCCAGCGCAGACAGCGCCAGCCCCAGGCTCACGAACCAGGCGTATCGGCCCCTGACACATCGATACTTTGCACCACTTACATGTATATTGCGTAGCTATTTGGACCATTAAATATTTTTTCAAATTATTATTGCGATCTAAGTTTTTACTTGCATCGGACTACTTTGATGGTGTGATAACGGTTTCAAATTTATCAGCATAACACTAAATTCCTGGTGCAAAAAGTGCTGTATTAAATTGCTATCTTCAATACGATAAAATATAAATGAATAAGATAAAAAGGGATACGTGAAGGTGAAAGGGTACATAAACAAATAGGTTCAGTTAACATGTTCTATAGACAATGCAAGCTGATAATACAATCGCCGTGCGCTGCTCTCATAGATAACAATCGCCTGGACTATTTGGTGCTTTGTACGTACCCTTATGATATAAAATGTTTAGTCTCGTATCGCTTGGAACTTTATTAATGGAAATTTACGAAAAACATATATATATATATCTCGTACGCTCTCCGTGTAATTGTAAAGCAGGTTTTGTTTTAAAATTAATCATTAGATTATGCTCAAGGGAACCATACAGCCATTGTGTCCGATTGTTGACTACACATGTCTTGTGATAGCGCACGATACGGCACTAATGTGCTTGTGACGTGAAGTACCGCAAACGAGGTGGAACTCACCATTCCCCTGCAGTAAAAGCGGCCTTGAAGAGTACGCAGCCAAGGAGACAGATGATGGGTGCGCACTTAAGCGCGGCTGTGGCGGCCGACGGCGCGTCAACGTCCAGCGCGAAGTACATACACACCGCCTTGAAGAACGGCACCAGTTGCGCGGTCACGCATGCCCACTTCATCTGCGCACCGACACCCTCAGATGTTGCATTCTTTCTCATCATCGTGCAGCCGAACACCTCACAGAACCCTACTGAGCCAGAGAGCTTCTATGATGAGATATCAAAACCTCACACAGCTTTTTAGTCGTGAGTTTTATTTGAAACAAATTGGTGTCGATACTTTCGAAGATTCAATATTTTAATAAGTGATACATATTTTAAACGGGACGTGGACATGATTTAAGACTGGAGGTATGGTGGGAGCGAGGGGGCTGCGAGAGCAGGTAGCGGGCATGCGCACTGCGCGGCGCTGCCGGCCACCCAGGCTTCCCTGGCCGCCTCGCTATACGTAGTGGGATGTAATGCAGATATATAGAACTATTGCAATACGAGTTCATCGAACCGGGCAGCTAAAATGCGTCCTTATTCTCATCATTAAAATTAATATGCTGTTAGTTGTTTGACCAAAGTTTTAAAAAGGGGACCCGGAATTTCTTCTTGCATTACCACTTATTATTATACTGCGCTAGGTTGTTGCACTTCCCTTTATAAGCCAATAGGACTGCTGACGTTATGAGAAACAATTTATTCGGGATACCTCTATGAATTAAAGTATTTCGATAAAATAGAATTGTATTAACATCATGAGTGAAAATATGACTTGTGCTAGTGTAATATAATCCATGGTAATCCTGTGTCGTATCTGCATGTCGGTGGGTCGGAGGGCGGAGGGGCCGGACACCGTGCAGTTGATTAGAGTACCGACGGGGCCGGGCGGCCAGGGCTCCGTTGCCGGTGCGCTATAAATACCCTGCCCCCGCCCCGCGTCTCGCCGCCGGCCATGCTGCTCTTCAATCTATGCAATCGATGCGATTTCTGAGCCATGGAGAATGTACTTGTAACTACGAACACTACATACTACCATTAATCTGTATTAAAGGAATAGCTTCATATACTTTTAGTATAGATCACATCGTGTGCTCCAAGTTTTATCACTTTCTATCTTAGGGACAGATAATATACAATATCATGTAATATTTTGGTACAAAATGCAAATGCACTAGCGATAAATCGTTAATCAGTTTGTTTGTTTACATTTCCGTAGACGTTGGAAGTACAACAAAGGTGTTATATCTATGCAAATTATCTCCGTGACCGGAGTCGAGCTGGAAGGCACCTTTGCGTGACCTGCGAGGAAGTTATTTATTTACAATGCTATTTAAAGTGTGGCCAACATGATATTGTCATAATAAAGTTAGCAGATTAGACGTAGACAGAGGTGATAATCATGCTTGGTTTATTAAATTAGTCTACTGTAAACATTAGTTATTTTGTGACAATGGTGAAATTATAATTTACGAATTTTTCTGTACAGTGCGTGTATAATTTAAGGGTTTATCTTGGAAAAAACGTAAAAATACAGAGCAAACAAATCAATTAGCCACGACACCTAAATATACGTAAATAAATGAATGCTAACTAATGGTGATGTGCAAATTCTATGTAATTACAATCAGTTTATAATGAACTGAATAACACGGGGCATTAATCTTAACTGGAGACTTCAAATACATTGATAACAATGCTTGTAACAAGAAGGTTGTTTTGGATCCTTCGGCGATTTGTAGACCTACCCGTTATTGGAATCACCTAGAACCTAGGCAAATGTAGGCTGTGACTAGCACGCAAAATCTGGCAGATGTAATGGCAAACCAAATTCCTTTATTTTATCTGCATCGCTATCTACGGACATTCAACAAGAACAGACGACGAAAACAAAAACCGCCGTCGTCGCTCAACCTATCTGGATGGTAATTACTACCCCTAAGTTGGCGGCGGGATCAGCGTTGTATAGCAAATTAAACATCCTCTATCTCTTCAATATGTAGATATCTATCTTATTAAAGACATTATATGTGATTATTGAAAGCACACCCGATGGCACCAAATAATGAGGTCCACAAACGCGCACGAACATAAATCGCGCACCAAAACAGACAATGTATTGAAGCGGTCAAACACGGCAGGAATTTTCCATTGAAGGAAATAAATATTTAGCGAACGAATTGCCGCAATTGGACGCAATATCATAATTTTTATATAGTTCTTTTTTTCGCGGAAAATCTCTTACGTTTGTCGTGCTATTTTAGAAAGTCCCTGATGTTATAAAGCCGATACGAGAACGAAGAACGTAAAACTGTAGAGGGGATATAACATAACAATAAAGGGTTTTGTTTTTGATTGTTCACGCTCCTTGCTCATAATCGCGTCGATGTCATTACATTGAAGATCCTTCATTGTTTTCGAGAACAATGGTTTTAGGTTTTGAAGTAAAGTTTTTAACATAAAAATTCACGTAAAATAATACAGACAACCTTCTCCTTTTGGAAGTGGAATAAAAGGACAAAGAATAACTGTATTTAATTTTTCTGAGTTGTTTGTATTATTTATACAGTAAATATCTATACTGTCTGAATTTACATTTTAATAAAATTGGAATTGAATTTATAAACATTAATTAAAAATCCATAGTTTCGATACCTTTATTTTAATCCCATCGGAAATTAGAAACTCATAGCGGCACAGTAGCCACTGGCCTCCATTACAAATTATGTTTAGTTTTCGTAATGATTTCAGCAATATTGCAAATTGGAATAGGATAGGAAACGCGACCTTTGTATCACATTGTAGTTGCGATTTATTACAACTTGAATTTCATAATTATTGGATCTAATGCTGTATACGAATAAAAAACAAATTATACTCACCAGATCTCCAGTTACCGACATAATTCGGATTTCAGAACTTATTGTCTTGTTATATTCACGTTCGCATTAATATACCTATAACGCGTAAATACTAAACAATAAGTAAACACATACAGCTGTCGTCAACGGCAGTAGCAAAGTTGTTTAAAAGGAAAATGCAATGCAAACAAATATTTATTTTGATGTGAATGTCCAATGATAACAAGGTACTGTGTTGCCAGGAAAATAAAAGAGATTTGCAACTTAGTTTTTGTATTTCTTTTGCGATTTTCGGATTTACATTAAATCTGTGAATGAATCCTAGAGCGTTAAGTGATTTTTATCGAGTGTTCTACCCTTTTCATACAAATGAATATTTTTACTGAATACTGAATGACACCAATATTTGTTGGCAACTGACACAATTTTACTTCAAATTCGAACGTCAGTTTGTTGTCATTTTGACAACTGACTTTTGAAGCTTTTGGAAAGTGAAACATTTTCTAAAAGTGTCAGATTATAATAAACGTTAAAGTATTGTGAGTTGTAACTTTGTTTTATAGTTGTTTACATTTTACTATCTAAAATGCCGAAGAAAAAGACTGGTCAAAGAAAAAAAGCAGAGAAACAGAAGCTGAGACAAAAAGAAATCAGAAATGCCAGGGAACACGTAGACATAGCCCAGCACCCTTGTAACATGCCCATGGAATGTGATAAATGCCAGAAGTAATTACACTGTAACTTGTTCTGTTCATTGCAAAAATGTATATCATAAGTTAGTTAAACAACTCTAAATAAATCCGTTGATTCACAATTCAATATCATATATTGCAATAGACTAGGTTAGAAAATGTTGAAACGTTCCTTAAAAAATCAAATGATGGGGACACATGTAATAAAATAGATACAATCCGATTTGCAGGAAACAAAAGAGTCGCGCATTCTGCTACTTCTGCCAAGCCCTGCAGCGGCTGCCGGCATGCGCGCACTGCGGGAAAGTGAAGTGCATGCTCAAGTCCGGGGACTGCGTGGTGCGCCACCCCGGGGTGTTCACCACTGGAATGGGAATGGTGGTAAGTATAAACTTTTACTTTTCCTCTGCTGTTATTTATGCAAAATCCAACTTTTTATTGTTAAGTATTGGTTTATGACTCTTAATTTTGAGTGTTTTCTAAGATGAGGTATGCATAAGTTTCCTCAATGAAACTGTATCTAACATATGCATATACTGTTTGCAGGGTGCAATCTGTGACTTCTGCGAGGCATGGGTTTGCCATGGGAGGAAGTGTCTGAATGCACATGCCTGTACCTGCCCACTTACTGATGCTGTGTGTCTTGAATGTGAAAGAGGTTGGGTTCAAGTCTTTTGCTGCTTGCAAAATTTAATTAACAGATTTTAACATTAACAAATCCTAGAGGCACATCATCAACTAGTTTAATATGTTTCCATAGGTGTATGGGAGCATGGTGGGCGCGTTTTTCGCTGCTGTTTCTGCCAGGGTTTCCTCTGTGAGGATGATCAGTTTGAGCACCAGGCCTCCTGCCAAGTGTTAGAGTCGGAGACATATAAGTGTAAGTTCCAAGTTATGAAGCCTTTAGCCATCTAAGTGCAAATTATTTGATTACTCAATGTTCTTAAACAAAATGATGGTAGTTTCAATAATTGATTAATGTATATGTATGGTGTGCCAGGTCAATCATGCAATCGCCTGGGGCAATATTCGTGCTTGCGCTGCAAGACATGCTTCTGTGATGAGCATGTGCGGAGACGCGGAACCCGGCCCGACCGCCGCGCCGCTCCGCCCTGCCCCAAGTGTGGCTTCGCTCTGCTGCTCACTGGCGAACTCAGCATGTCCAGTCAGTATACACATGTCACATCACATACACACATTTTTTTATCTTAATAAAATTAAAAATCTTAGTAAAATTTGGCATAGATGTACATTTTGAAGAACACTCAGGTTACCAATTAACTTAACATTTCGCTCAACAAAGTCATGGGAAAAATTTACCTTTTTCACAGCGCGCTCGCATCGTTACGGACGTCAAGGCGCTCAGCCGGCTGACGATGACGATTATGGCGCTGGTGGATATACTGGTGAGTAAACTTTTAGAGGTTGGATACTTCATAATTTTGTATCAATGAAATGTAACGACTTATTTATTCCTTACGAATAAAGCCTCAGTATTGTCCATCTGACACAATTCAATATATTTTGCAGGTTACGACGCAGCCGCCGAAGGAGGTGACTACTCGTACTCTTGCTCCGAGTCGGATGACGACGACGAGGATGATGATGACGAGTCTGAGGAGCAGGACTCTGACGACAGCGAGCAACCCGACACCACGGCCGCTGCATCTGGCAACAAAGCGCCTTAACCTCAATACATTTTCCATAACATATTCAAAATTATTTAACATATAGTAAAATATTATACTTACTGTACTTTTGGCCTTTTCTTTATTTTTACTTTATATACCGGTTGTTTTGAAAACAGCGTTCATATTTTTCAAATAAAGTAATAAGCTTATCACACATCGTCTTGATAAGTCGATTAATCATAAGACACCATATTCACATTCGTCAATTTGAAGAAAAACTTTTTCCCGCTTCAACAAAAAAGTGTTGCCAGTAACACATTTTATTGTTTATTTCCAGTTATTTTATCTGGAAAATTATTTAAATCTTTAAACCTGTTAACACTTGATAACTGTTAAGATGTTGTTTGTTAAATAATTAGGAATTTGTATTGTTAGCGAGTTTTTTCTTAAAACATACTTCGTTTGATCTATGAATGTTACCAAAAAGAATCAATTTTTATATATGGTAACATTGAGTCGACTATCGCATTCGTGACTTCGTGACAGCACGACGATCAACGAATGCGAATAATGCTCTGAAACGAAAATATTAGTGTTCATTTTTTTATCCGTTTACAAATCGTTTAGTGATAAGCGCCGATTACGTCCTGTTCATAAAAAAATTCCGTCCGTGTTCACCGACAAGTGCATGGAGATGAGACCGTCGTACGGCGGTCGGTGAAAGTGGTTTGTGGTTTGTGATCGTGTCGTAGTAAGTGCAAGTGTGCGAGGATGGGTGTGGGGCTCCAGCCGCTGGAGTTCACGGAGTGCCTGGCCGATAGCCCGCACTTCCGAGAGAACCTGCAGCGCCACGAGAAGGAGCTCGAGCGCACGAGCCAGCAGATCAAACGACTCATAAAAGAAGTCAAGGATGTTGTTCAGGCCGCTAAACGTGAGTGATAAGTCCTTCATCAAAATTAAATTACTATCCCCATTATTTACCAGAGATATATATTTTTTTCATTTTAGTAATTTTTTAAGTGATTCGAGTCATCAACTAGATGTCCCATGCAAGTGTAAACAATACAATTTATAATATAATGTGGGCTCAGTAGATTTATCTCATGTAATTTATTGTGTTTGTGGCAGTTTTATGTGGCACTTGTAGAGGTGATAACAATGCAAGTGGGACGAACTGGAGGTGTGAATCTATGTGGCCTTGTAGCTCTCTTGTTATGTAACCTTGTGATGCTTGTACCACATATTGACAATGTACATCAATTCATCTTTTTAGTTATGCATTAAGCTTCAAAGTTTATACATATATTTTTTAAATAACTTCTATAAAGTTACCATTTCAATACATGTTGCTTTTAAAAAAAAACACACATATTGGGATACTCCTCTTTGAAAGTTGGGTAATGTAAGTGCTGCACATCCATTTAACAAAGACATAATATAGTCTGTAGCTTGTATGTGTCAATTTAATGTTATCTGAGGCAGGTGAGTCATGCTTAGTTCATCAGAGTCCATAACGAACACCCACTCAGCTAAAGCCAATAAAAGTAGAGATGCACCATGTTAGTATAGCTAATACCCACCCTAACTTAATGCTACATGCCTAATTGATAAGTAACTTGTTGCATTTTTTTAAGGTTTCTTTGTTATTCTTGTTTTCTTTGTACAGTTTGTTTGCATTCTTAATGCCTTATTTGTTTACTTGTCAATCTTGTTTGGTTCTATTTAAGGATATGTTGTTGTGTGGCTTTTCTATGTTGCTCTAGTAATGCTGTTGTGACCATTTTTATTACAGTAATATGATAGAAATTAAATGTATATATCTATTGTAGACAAAGCCTATTTTTTGTTATGTACCTAATGTCTGGAAATACATTTATGTAATCATTGATGACTTAATTACACAAAGATAAAGTTAAGTATGTCTTTTGTGCTGGCTTAATGTTCAAATATTCACCTTTATTATATAATTAATAGAACAAAGCTAATTATCTATAATTAAAATATTTTGGTAATAGACTTTTGCATGAATTGAATTTTTTACCTGGCAACAGAAGACATTTTTTTAATAATTTTGTGTTAGAAATATAAATGTATGTATGGATAAGAATGTGCCTTATCATTTATTTTGTATGTCACAAGACAACAAAGGATACTGCACTGAAATACACTAGAACACTGTTGGCCAAAGTACACAAGACATGTAATATTCTTATGACACACTATTCAAAGAAAATTAGATAAATTTCTGTCTATTTAAATTAAAATTAATGTTTGTCTGTTCGCTTTCCATGCCTTCCTACCCATACTTCTAGAGAACCAGTCAATCTAAAAACCTATGTTTTTCCTTTAAAATGATTAGTGTAATGTTTAGAGGCTTAGTATGTTTTATAATCAAAGTGTAATTTGATAAGGCAGACTGATAAGCAATGTGTAAGGTACACAGGTGTGTCGTAACACCCTGTGCTGGAGTAAATCATTACCAATTAATTTTAGTAATGGCTTTAAAACCCGCTCTTTCTTTGAAATGAGAGTTTTTTATGATGTTAGTATTACAGTAGCTTTACTACCTTATTCTTGTACCTCTCAAATGTTGTTATGTTTATGGTGCTTGCTGTTGCTTGTGACTTCACCCTCATGAAATTAAAAAATAAAGCCTTTGTCACTAACTGATAATGTAGCTTCCTAAGGGTGAAAGTAGTTTTGAAATCAAGCAAGTAGTTTATGAGTTATCTAAATACATACAAAAATACAAATCTTTAGTATTTTTTTATTACAGCATGAATATTATTGTCAATTATCAATATTCGATCTGGGCGATAATTTAAACATATTCTTGCTATAACTATAGAACATTAGAGAATGTAGGTGAGCTTGTTATCGGCGGAAGCACTTCATTAGCGTGCCCCCGCCTTGCGCGACTCCGGCGTCTCAGGACTGGAGACATTCATTGTCAATTTATTGTAAGGTAGCTAGAATAGTATATGTCAAGTGGTTATTGAATCATGTTGATATGCTATAACTATACTTGAATTGTAATAGAAAAGATACCTTTGTCTTCCTTGTTTACATTTTAGAATAGATGCAAAAGACTGTGTCGAGTGTTCTTAGAAACACTGTAATCTTTAGTGTTTAATGTATACAGTTTTTTTTAACTATCTGTTGCCCGCGACTTCGTCCACGCAATATTTAGATAATAAACTAGCCTATAATATGCTCATCTTTGACATTTACCCTTCAGTGATAGTCCAGTCGAAATCTGCCCAGCTGTTTCGGAGATTGCTCGGAACAAACGCGGCTTGAGGACAGACAAAAATTTTTTTAAAGGGATTTTTGTTATTAGAAACGCAAATACATCCCGAAATCTATAATTTTTTATGACATTACGAACAGACACTTCAACTTTATTATATGTACAGATTGTCCCATACATGGAGATAGGCTTTACCGATGTGTTTAATTGTAGTGGGACTCGTTTTTATGAATTTGTAATGACATTTAATGATTGTCGGTGTCATTGACGCAAAGCTCGACAAAGCGCGTTTGTGTAGCGTGGGATCGAACTTAGGACGTAACCTGTTACGTGATGCATTGTGCGCTGTTCGCACGGAACGAGGGGCGAGGCTGCACTCATCAGATCAGATAGTGCAATCGTCAGTTTTTCACTAGGAATTAAGACGTTTAAACGGAAAAATAATGACCTAGTGTAGGCTTCCGTATCTAAAGATTGACAGTACGTTTATGATACAATTCATATTGTACTTTTATAAATGCGAGTGATATTGCGACATGCTTGTAACGAGATTACATTTATGTTATAAGAGCGCCGGCAGTGGCGGCGTGGTCGGCCTTCACCTTCACTGTCACCGTCATTATCTTATTACCTTCACTCTCCCGATACCCGCAGTTTGTAATAATATTGTGATGATGTCATGAAAGATTTGTAACCAGCATCAACCAGGTATCAACCAATCCGCCTTTTATTGTGACTGAGTTGCCACTTTGTTGCCAGTTTTGGACTTGAGTACCGCAAGCTAGGTGACCTACACCACACACCTATGTTCTTTTGGTTCTATTGTAGTTGCTAGTTATAAGTGCTTTTTATGTGTTAGAAGTATCTGTTTTAAAATGACTATAGATAAATTAAATGTTTTCGTTATGCATCGATTTATTTTACAAACACAAAATTGTTTAAAAATAATTAAATCTTATTTTTTAATAATAAATGTATTCACGTGCTTTGGACTAAACTAAGTTTTGGCAAACATGATCACAATAAATAATATTAGTTCATAAAAATCTTATAACCATTAGGTGTCATGGGTGACACTAATTGTTATTGAATTATGGCAATATCACCTTTGTATTAATGATTTTTCTTAATAACAGATTGTGTAGCAATCGATCAAGCAAGTTTGAATAATGTTTTACTATCACCATTGCGCAATATAATACGACAATGCACCTGCATTACATTTAACAGGTGGTAATGACCATTTAGTGCAAATAATGCAACAAGTAATGCAACACAGTACATAAACAGCAGTTTGCGTAATACAGTACGGTGCAAGCGAGTGGCGCTCCGTTCACCTTGAGCTCAAACCGCGACGACAGTGACTTACCGGCCTACAGTCCCATAGTACCACTGTCCGTCCCCTGGTCAGCTACCGTCATTAGTGGACATAACAATATTTTATCTCTGCTATAGTTTGGTGACTTGTAGAAGACGACATCATGAAGAGTTGTGGTATTTATCCAATTAAAAATACAACAATTGCAACAGTGTTGAATAATATCGCTGCAATA